CTCCTCCCCTCTCCCCTCCCCTCCCCTCCCCTCCCCTCCCCTCCCCTCTCCTCTCCTCTCTTCTCCTTTCTTCTTGCCACCATCTGCCAAAAGGAAAATGTATCAAGAACACTTTGGGAGAAAACACACCGGCAGTTTCCCCCCTTCACCCATTCTGTCTCTTCCTACCCTGTCAGTGAGAAGGCTGAGGAGTAGAATCCTTTGCAGTAGAAGCATGTGCTAGAAATACCCACCATTTCTCTTTTGTAACCCTGCCAGCCTCAGGGCCAGACACACAGTAAGTGCGCACTCAAGGCACATTGACTCACCTGGTCTCTGTGATTGTGTTTTCTCCTCCTGAAGAGGGGCCAGAGTCAAGGGACGTGATGCTTCTGTGATTGCCAAATTCTCCTTTTCCATCTGCTCAGCATTTATCAAGGTAACAGAGGTCAGGCTTCTGGGGAGGAGAGGACATTGCAAGAGGAAGCTGCATCTGACGAGCCCAAGATGCTTGGCTACAGTCAGAGGACAAAAATGTGGTTTGATCCTGAGCCTGTCATTCAGCTCAACTGCCTGTCAGGCCCCTAGGGTTCTCAGACCTGCAGGCCGCCATTTGGACCAGCATTTGGGAAGCAGGATACTTATGGAATCCATTTTGGGTTTGGCAGCCAGAACAAAGAGTGAGGCTGGAATGGAGCAAAGAGGTGTAAATGTAGCCCAGAGTGGGGGGCTATCTGGTGTCACATAGTTGACCCTTCTGTGGCAAGGGTGGGGCATTCAGGGAGAGAGCGTGTGCTAGGAGACCATTTAAACTCTCACAGGAAGCCAAAAGAGGGGGAGCCAAATTGCAAGTGAGGTCTTTCAGGCAGCCGCCTCCCAAAGATGAGCAAACCCAATCTTGGTTCATCTGTAGGTCGAGAGGGTTTTTTTGTTCGGCTCTTTACAGTCACAGCATGCTGGAGGTGGGACGGGCATCTTGCATATCTGTGGGAGTCAGCACAATCTCTTTCGCCCCTATAAATACCATGTGTGCTACTTCCTGGGGTGGTTGAAATGAGTTTGGCTGCTAGTGGCCCCTGTGACCCTACATCCGAAAGAATGTGGGCATTTGCAGATCTCTGGGTACCATCTTCCCAGCCCCCGCCCGACATGCACACTCGCTCACATACCCCAGTGAGCCCTGTTCTGCTTGAAAAAAGCTCTAAAATATTCTGCGTCCTTCATATACGGGGGAAAACCCTTTAGGCGTTAGATACTGCAGTAATTACTATATAATGGAGTAAATACTATACTATAATAATTAACTTGTAAACCTTGAAATAACATTTACTGTAATTTAGACCAAATATGAACTGTGAGTAATGAAGCTCGATCCAACATGAAATCATTTGCAGGGCACTTTAAACATATGCCTGGGAAAGAGAGAGCAGCGGTTTCCCGTCGTTACCAAAATGGGCCCAAACGAGGCCCCCACAATACTGGAAGAGCATGCAGCTGCTGTTATTTTGAAATATCTTGGTAGCATTTTTTTTTCCTTCTTAATAAATCCCTTCTCTTCTGCCTTTTTCTAAACTGTCCTTTTAGGCCATCAGAAAGAACCTGGGGTTTTATTTTGTTTTGAATTTAGTTTTTACCCAAATGATTGCAAATTCTGTATGCAAAGCTAACATTTAAAGCCTGGGCAAGAGTCTTGGAGTTGAGCAGAGGGTGAGAAGGTTCTTGGGTTGCCTCCATCAACAGTGAATGGTGGATGCTTCTGGAAAGTGGATGTGTAGACAAAGCTGCTTCTAACCACTGTGGTGCCAGGGGCCGGGAACACCCAGCAAGTAACGGCACCTTTTGTTTACTTAGCACGTCATGTCTTTGCCTCCTAATCCCTCTTCTGTAGCCTTGCTCAACTTCTCAGGAAGTCTGAGGTGGGTGCAGAGGGCAGATTTGCCCCCTCTACTCCCGTACCCGCGCCCCCACGCCTTATACATTAAAGGGAAGGGAAGGACTTGTATCAAGTTGAATCAAATGAAACTGCTGTTCTTCTAGGTTAAAAGCCATGTAATGTTGGCAACACCATATACATCAAGCTAATACAGAACGCATGTACGCACCTCTGACATCAGACCTCTGTGCCTTCCTCTGAGCTACTGCTTAGGTTTGAGATTCAGTTGAAACGGTGCCTCGGTTGGTCTCACATTGCCCAGCTCCTAGCCTTCCCTTCTCAGAGTCATACTTTTGGGAAACATCATCTGTCCTTCGTTTACCTTTCTAGCTTTTTCGCTCACTGGTTCGCACAGCTTGCACTCTAGTCAGACTGGACCATTTACTGCTCTCTATTTCAGCATTCCCAAGTCTGCTATCTTGTGCTTTCGGGTCCTAGTCCCCCAGAATGCTCTTTCGGCTAACTTGAATTCTGTCTGCCCTTTCAAAGAGACAGTTAAACTCTACCTTTTCTCTCATACCTTTTTTTTTTTTTGTTTGTTTGTTTGTTTTTTGAACAAAGACTATTTGGGTTGGGAATAATAATAGCATTCACTGAGCACTTCCTGCGTGTCCTCGAGCATGGACTGGAGGTATCCAATGGCTTATGTTATCTGATCTCCATAAAACTCATGAGGCAGAGACAGGTACTGTCCCTTACCCTGTCTCAGAGAAAACTGGCACATTCACTAAGGCTTAGTAACATGGCCAAGGTCACAGAGCAGGTGTGACAGAGGATTTTTCTCCAGTGATCATGGCCTGGAGCTGACTGCCAGTTTAGGAGCACTCTCAAGAGCCATGTCCAGGGACTTGAAGGACCAAATGGACACATACTGCAGAGAGATCTAGAGCCACTTCAATGTGTCCATTTGTCACAGCATGCAGACCAGTCCAAGGCTTTGAAAATGGGCTGACTACTGCAGACAGAACCGGTTGCCCTGTGAGAATAAATGAGGTACCGAGACTGGGTGTGAGATTCACCATAGGGATGATCTCTTGGGCAGAACAGCTTGGTGGCTGGGAGCATGGTTTCAAACTCCTAATTCCACATTTACACTCTGCCTGACAGTTTTTTTTCCAGCACACATTCCCTCACACATATCCACACCCCGCCCAACACACACACACACACACACACACACACACACACACACACACACACACCTATTTTACTTTCTTAAATGTATACTGCTTATGCTTCCCGACCTTAATAAAGATATGAATCACTTCAACCTGGAACTTTGTTATAATGCAGAATTTGATGCAGGAGGCCCGGGGTGGGGTGGGGGGGAGGGGGCTTGACCTTCTGGATTTTTATTAGGCTCCGAGAGATGCTGAGATGCTCTGGTATAAGGCCACACTTTGAGTGGTAGGGCCTTGTATCATATGGGTAATCTCTACCTCCAAAACATTGCAACACTCTCCTATTAGGTTTTAGGTAAATGCTAATGATTGATTGATGGATTGATTGATTGGATAAACTCTTCATTCTAAGAAGGCCAAGTTTTGGTGATCAGAAAAATGATCCTTCAAGTACCCACTCCCCAACAGGGTCCACCTATATTCCTCTTTGTCTTTATGCCAACTAATAGATTGTTAAAAATTCTGTGTGATCTTCTTTTACTCTTTTATGAAAATTGCTCTAACTTCTCTGATAGTGTTTGCCAGCACAGATTTTAATTGGGACATGGATAAGGTTTGGAGCAAATGGCAAACAGTGGGAATTTAGATCAGTTAGGCTAGCACCTTCAATGATGGGTGTCTCTGCAGAGATAAATTATTTTCGGGGAAGACGCACATTTAAATCTGTCAAGTTATTCCAATACATCTTTATCAGTTTTTCTTTCCAGATAGCACTGCAGCTACAGATGTGATCTTTTTTTCAACTTACGTAGTGAGAGCAAGTGACCACTGAACTCTCACTTTCCAAGAGACCCGAAAGTGTTAATGTCCTCTTTCTGTCATAAGCGCTTGGCATCACAGATGGGTTTTTGCTCAACGCTAGATCCAGACACTTCTGTGTGTGCATCCTGATATTAACACAATGGATTGAAATCATATTTATTGTTTTCTTTTTCAGAGAAGGATCAGAGATGGGGGAGTGAATGCTTTTAAGCAGTTTTTCAGGAAACAAAAGCCTACATTTTTGAAATGCCAGCTATTACCAGTCCACAGTTCAGAGTCTAGGAAGACTCGTTAGCACTTGCTCGGGTCCGTCCCTCCCTGGAAACAGTGCAGGAATTACACTCTGAGATGTGACCATTGAAACAGACTCGAAGTCAGTGTGCATAATTACTTACCACAACAGTGGTTAATGTGCCCTGAAATATTCCCAGCTCCCTTCAGCCTGGGGCTTGGTGGTTGATATTCAGATTTTCTTGATGAATGTTTTGAATGCTTTACTTACACCAGTTTACCAAAATACTTCTAGGTTCTAATGCATGTGCTTGCCCCCTCCATGTAGGTGTTGGCCTGGGTGGAGGAAGGAAAGCCTCAAAGGCTGTCACATTTACAGCAGTGATGGGGAGTGAATGATAGGATGTTAGAGCTAAAAAGGGCTATATAGGACATAACCATTTCTCTCTAGCTCAATCCACTCATTTTAGAAATGAGGAAATGGAGGCCCAGAGAGGTAGAGTGACTTGCCCCAGGACCACACAGCTATTTAGTGGCTCAGTGAAAATGAAAGCCCAATTCCCCTGACTCGAAGTCCCATGCTGCTTCTGTGTCAGAGTGGGTTGCTTCCTGTGCACGTGCCCCTGTTTCTGTGAGAAAGTCTGATTTCTTGTTCAGAGTCACCGGAAGGCCTGGTTCCCTTGCATTACCTTAGGCCATGACCTGTGGCTTCTCAAATCTTTTGCCCCAGGGAGGAGGAGATTTTCCACATCTGCCTCTCCTTTTCTTTCTTTCCTTGTCTCTTCCTCCCTCCCTCCCTCCCTCCCTTCCTCCCTCCTTCCCTCCTCCCTCCCTCCCTTCCTTCCATCTTCCCCTCATCTGTTCTGAAGCGCTGAGCTCTGGCACTGTCTCACGTGCCCTGAAGTACCCAGAGTGGTGCTGGGCCACAGCTACCCTCATCACTCTCAATTCCATGTCTTACAGTCTGGTTGGTATTTACTCTTTCTGTGTCCAGCCTCTTCCCTCCCCTCTCTCATTCCCTTGGGTCATGCTCTCTATTGGGACACCAGAGACAATGGATGATGTGTTGTTCCGGGGCCCAGGTGATGCACTTGCCCTCGAGTAGCCCCTCCAGCAGTAACCCAGAGGAGTGACCACACTGCTGGGTGTGGGTGCATCATGGATGGAGGTGAGCAGGGCTGAGGATTGAGGGTGACAGGACGTTCATAAGGCATCCTGATGTTCCCTCTGTGTGCCGGTCAGCCCTGCCCTACCCCTCTCTGCTCTATTCATCTGAGGAATATTCATCTCCTCAGATGTGCCAGACGCCCTGAGGATACCACCATGAAAAAGATGTGGTTCCTGCCGTTATGAAGTGCGCAGGGTCACATGAAAAGTTACAAAATCACAGCCCAGCATGCATTGTGTGACCACAGGGGAGAGAGGGTTGGGTCCCCCAAGGGGCTCAGGGTTCAGAATTTTGCCTCGGAGATGGCAGTTGGATTAAGCTTGAATTAAGCAGTGAGGATCTTGTTAGTTATCTCTGGGGGTAGGGGCGGGGGTGGGGGTGCTAAGGAGGATTGGGGGGTAGGTACAAAGAGAAGAGGTATTGTAAGGATGAAAGCATGGGCAGAGACAAGAGGCGGAAAGGCACATGACTGCTTGGTGGGGGACAGAATGACACCAGTATTCTTGGCTTAAATCACCCAGTGATTCTTGACAGCATACTGACATCATGTGCTGGCAAAGAGGGCCTTCATGCTGGGGGGGACAGCCTACAGGTAAGGCTGCACCCCTGATCCTGACACAGCCCCCTCAAACTTTATGTCTCCACAGCCCTGCTTCCCCCATTCCAGCCTGGGCTGAGCCTGGACTCTGCTCAGACTGCCTGCTTCCTATCTGTCCTCACAGGTGGCCCCTCTCTGACATCTGCCTGGATACTCCTGTCCTTCTTTCTGCCTTTCTAACCTTGACTTCTCCCATAACACCCAAGTTCCTCCCTCCTCCTCTGAAATCTCTAAACATTCTGTAAGGCGTAGAGAAGACTCTCACGCTACCAACTCAGGTCTACAAAAATGGTCCATTTCCCAATTTTCTTTAAATCAAATAAGATCTGACTATTAGCCCCGGTCTGCCCAGAATGATAGTAAATCAGTCACAGAGATTGTTAGGTCATTCTTCCCTTCCTCGGGGTTATCAGCCTCCCTGTAGCTGGAAAGTGGAGGGTGTCTGGTTTTCAGTCCATCGTGCTTATGGTAGATATCTTTCTCTCTAAGCCCATGTCCTCCTCAAAGGTGGCAGACACTGTCATTCTCAGACTTTGCAGGACCTTCCCAGTTGCCCAGGTCAGACCTTTCCAGGAAATCACACAGCTGTTGGCCTCTGGGGTCTTGTGCTACTGGGGAGTGGGCCCTGGGTCTCTGCCTTCCCAACACCTGTGAGTATCCTCCTCGTCCCCATCTTCTCACCCCTCTTTCTTCTCTCTAGCTCCCTAGGAACAAGTCATTTCCCTCTGTGCCCCCAGGGCTTTGGCATAACCTCTTTGGTGAATTTAGGCTTTTGTGGAAGGCAGGAAGAGAGGGCCTGGCTGAATCTTTAGCTTCCAACCTGCTCACAAACCTTCTAGAGCCAAGGGGGCACTGCAGGCTTGGCTTCCTTCTTAAAAGAAGTAGGCTTTGTGCAACAGGGAGGAGAATATACAGAGAAGGAAGCCCAAATTCTGATGATTATGTCAAGAAATTATCTGAATCACAGTCCCATCCATCCTTTGAATTCTGGATTTAGATGAGTTACCTGCCTAGACAAACTCTTCCCTGCCCTAGTTTCATTATCTATAAAATGGTATTAATATTAATAATTACTTCCTAGGGTTGTTACAAGAATTAAATTACTTAATACCTTCAAGTTACATAGAACAGTACCTGGATCATAGCTAAGCTCTTAAAAAAACTGTGAGCTGCTTCATTAGTTATTATCCATTTGACCATTAACATGCTGTAGAGGACTGTTAATGATTTTATTATGAGTATGGCGGTAAGCATGCACACATGATTAAAACCCCTTCCGCATTTCAGTACTCAGTGCATTCTTGGTGATTCTGACTTGACAGAGGAGCAAGATTTGTCCCACGGATCCCAGAGGAGAGTCTGCGCCCTGAATAACTATTCCAACTATTGCTCACCATATGTCCACAACCAAAAAATAGTTTTGGAGGGCAGGAAATGAGCACACATGTGCACATCTGCAGAGAGTCGCCTGCTGAAATCAACACGTAAGACATATTTACCACCGAGGCAAATGCCTTCATGTGTTTGTAAGTGGCTATTTCTGAACACCCAAAAGGGAAGAAGAGAGGAGCCAAATTCAAATGGCATCATGTGTTTGTTATTTTGGAGCAAGGTTATGTGGAAGGAGAGCTTCCCTTATGCCTGGAACACTTTAAGGGGGAGAAATGAAGTATTTAAAGGTATTTTAATGATCATGAAAGGCCCTGGCTTAATAGGGCAGGAAACTACAGTTCTCTTTTTAATCCCAGAAGGAAAATAACAAGGCTGTAGCTTAGCCTTCCCTGAAGAGTCATAAAGTGGACTGCAAAGAGGCAGCCCCTTGAGACCCTCTCTAGGTCTCTGTGGCCCCTTAACTGCGGGTCTGTCTGCTTAGGTTTCCAGTGTGCTTAGTAATTAATGATCATAGCACTGTGCTTAGGTAGCAGCAACCTACACAGGTTTCTGGGAGAAGCCATTGCCTTCTGGCATACAGGGTTAGGGACCTTCCTGAACAAGTCAGGCTATTGAGACCCACATTTCCTGCTTCTCATCCCTCTTTGGCCAGGTCTCCCACTTACCTGTTCAACTCTGTCTTCTCTTCTTTCCCTGCCCAAACATGGAAGTCCCCCATGCTGGTCTCTACTTCCCCACCATCAGCATCACACAGTTCTTGTTATTTTCAGTAGTTATGTTGTATAAAGTCACTGGGAATGCCGAATTCATGAACCCTAAACCACTGCTACTTGGGGAAATACAGGGTTAGGTTCCTGCAAGCCTCTGGTCATAATATTTCATCAGTTGATGAATATGTAAACTTATGGTGTTGATTTCTGTTCAGAGACACCTAAAAAGCAGCTAGCTGAGCACTGCGGGGTTATCAGTGACTCAGGGCTTCGTGGAGGAGAGCCCTCGGGGCATGTAGGCCCCAAGCACTCTCTCCTCTACTTTCACCTTCTCTGTTCCAGCATCTGGACCTGAACTGCAATGACCCCGGATGCTTTCCTGCTTGGCACCTCAGGGGTTGCAGATTTTACTTCCTCTGAAGACGTTTCCTCACACCCCATGTCTGTGTCACAGACCATTTGATAATGAGACCCTCAAACCTGGTCTTTGCCTTTGCTGGAGGCATCCACTGCCACTCTCCTTTGTGTCCTGAAGCCTGCTACAGCAAACCCTATCCGTCATATTGCCCCAAGCACCTCCTGTTGACATCTCTCACTTTGCGATGGAATTATTTTTTGAAAGTGCTAAGAATGTATTTTTCATCTCTTGAATTCCTTTCATCTCCAGAAGCATTTGACTCTCCTCATTAAACAGAAACATGCGTTGGAACTGTGGTGGGGCCCACAAGCCAACATATTAAGGACACGTGTTAGATACATCATGTGGAGGTCATCAGCAGGCAGGGAGCCTGGCCAGCAGCAGCCTTCCTTCCTGACAGCACCCCCGATGGCCATTCCGTGGAAGGGATTATGAGAGGGAGGAAGAGAGTCCAAATAGTACAGTTCCACACGAGATGACCTAATTGTGGAAGGCTGAAACAGGCTTATATAGAAGACTGGACATCTCCAAGAAACCAGGACTTGAAATATAATCAGGAGAACATTTGGCAGATGACCAGAAGGCTATAAATAGGCTTGTGTTTAATAGCCATCACCCCGGGGCGCCTGGGTGGCTTAGTTGGTTAAGCGTCCGACTTTCGCTTGGGTCATGATCTCGCGGTTCGTGGGTTCGAGCCCCGCGTCGGGCTCTGTGCTGACTGCCGGCTCGGAGCCTGGAGCCTGTTTCAGTCTGTGACTCCCTCTCTCTCTGACCCTCCCCTGCTCACGCTGTGTCTCTCTCCTCTCCTAAAAATAAAAAAAAAATAGAAAAAAAAAACATTTAAAATAAAAAAAAAAAATAGCCATCACCTATCATGGCAGCATTTGTCTCCAGATTCTTAAAAATTACCACACCACAGTCACTGGTGGCTTCCCTAGGAGAAATTACAGTGTGTTTCCAAGTAAGTTACTCCACTCTGATTTCCTGAGTTTAATTTCATTTGTATTTTAGTTGCTTTATCTCCCGCTGGCTTTTTCTCTGTTTCCATTCATCATCTTATAGTACCTCCCTTTTCCATTCCACTATATCCTCCTCTTTTGTTCCTCATGAACACAGGGAGGTAAACATGTTTTGGATTAGAACCCAAGCTGATTATCCTCCAAATGCACGAGAAATCAGTTGTCCACTAATGACGTTGGGTAGTGTCACATTTGGGAATGCTCATGGCATGTTCTTCAGCTTGAGAGGAAATACTGGGAAAGTTTTGTTGTAGCTTGGGAAGAAACATGTAAGAATGGTGCCATCTTCATGGGGGAGTCTGAAGCATGTCCTCATCATTACCCTCAGACAGTAAATTTGGAAGGCTGAACTTCTGTCCATCATTGGACAGAGAGAGAATTAGAAGTGGAAGAACATCTAAGGACTTCTCAGACTCATACAGAATAGCAGAATAAGGGTCAGGGTCCAGGACTCTTATCTGAAACTCAGGCCTGACTGAACACAACTCAGCCTGCATGTGTCACTGTGCCATTGACCGGCTTCCTACCTGAATGGAGCTTCCTTTTCTCTTTGCCGATCCCAGATTAACTAACCCTGCTCTGCCCACAGACCCTCACATGTTCCCTCTTTACACGGCTCATAGCCCCCCTCATTCCATGGCTAGGAATGCCCCCTTTCCCCAATGCCAAGGTACCCTGATAGATTCGGAAATCAAACTGTGGTTTAGTAAACTGAGTCTTAGCATGTGTAGTGCCTTGTGGGAAGTTGGCTTCTGGAGGAGCTAATGCAGTTGGATTAGGGAGTGTGTATCTCCGTAAGGTATGTTACTGTAAATATAGTTTCATGCTGCAGGAAACCTTTTCTCTAACAGAGTGCTTGCCTCATCTCCTGTCTGCATCACCCCATACCCCAGTTCCATCTCCAGCCACCGTTTTCTTAATTTTACATTGAAGGATCAGCATGTCTGGGATACATCCATCTACTCTTATGTCTCTTTTTGTCTCATCTTCCCAAAGGCAATGAGGTCTCCTTCCTGCAGGGGCGTTGGAAAAAGAACGAAGTACATAAACTGATTTATCTTGGCCTGTCAGTTGTTTTGAGAATGTCAGCAATGGAGGGCATCTTCTCCTCCTCAGTCATCACAGGCTCTGAGGCAGGACCTCGCCTTTCACTAAAAGTACACACAACGCCCCTTGACTATGACCATGATGCTCACTCATTGTCTGCTTCCCAACACAGCACCAGCATGGGGTCTGGAGCCTCTGCTTCCAGGCAGCCTCCAATCAGAGCTGAGTAGAGAGGCAGCTGAAAGCAAATCCTTCTCTTCTGGAAGGGTATTTGATGGTATTGGTGCCATGCTAGAGAGTTTCATTTTGGGTATAAATGAGAAGCAAGCATTGCAAGTGACAGTTATAGCAAATCAGAGTACAGTGGATGTTTCCAACCTTTATTCACATTATGTGTCATAATAAACGTCTTTTTAAGAAAGATGGCATGTGCAGAATGGCCCAGGCTGCAGCTCTGCAAAGGCGTGGGAGGAATCACCATTGTAAAAGCAGAGTGTGGCCAGAGGATGAGATCACACCTCCAGCTGGAGCCCTGCGGTCTCCTCCCTCTGTCCTCTAGGAAACATGACACACAGCATGACACTGCATCCATTATTTATAATGTCAGAGTTAGGGAAGATTGAGTTTCATACTAATTGCACCTTTGGAATAGAGATGGATTGGGAAGATGTTGCTGAGCCTTGATGTGGTGGTTAGCACTTCTGGGGTGAGAAAGTTTACATAGGCTATGAACTGAAGTCTCCTCGTGGCCAGCAGGAAAGCTAGTCACATGCCATCTTTAGTTTTGAGGACGCTGAACATGGGAGGTTCCGTGACATACCTCATGTTCTCAGCTAAGTGACCAGCAAAACCTGATTTCTGAGTATTGTTCCATTCAGAATAAAAAGCCAAGCTTCCCATGTGTAGGAGAGGCACTCAATGCCAACAGATATTTGTGCATCATCCCCAAAGACTGTCTTCTGATTCCACTTATGCAGTAGTACTTTTGGGCAAATAAACCTGTATTTGTCTTCTGGGTTTGCTGAACTCAGAAGCATTTGGTGATTAGAGAGATCTCTCAACATCAGAGACCAATAAATGGTGTAATGTGGCATAGTCATAATGATGTGTATTTAAGCTACATTTCTTCATAGAACTTGCCATTTCATTGGGTTACTTAGTGAATCTAAGAAGTTATCTCTGGGATTCTCAGACAGACAAATGGAGAAGGGAAGCTTATTTACACTGATCCAGAGGAAGCACATCCTTAGAGATGATGATACTTACCTTACCTTCTCCAAGAGTTAAATAGCAGTGACTACATAATTGGTAATTATTGACCGTATCAAAAGTCCTGGAGATGTTGTTGGTAGCTGGTCCAGAGTTTCATGGTTGGCTGCTTTCTGGGCCTGCTCTGGAAGTTAGCACCTTGCCTTCAGCATTTGAACTGGTTGAGGGAGAAGTTCACAAAACATGGGCCACAGAAGAAAGAACATCCCAGTAGCTTCCCAGGGAGTATCTACCGTTTAACTTGAATTCTGAGTTAAAATTGAGCACACTGCTCTCTGCTCCACTGTGTCAATGTCAGCCTTAGTGGAGTGACGAGCGAGCATGGAGGTGAGGCAAGGCTGACTAAGGAGGTGCAAACTTTACAATAACTGAGCCGGATAGAGTGGTCCGTATGGTTGCTCTTGAAGCTGCTCTCTGCTGTTGTCAGAAGAAAACGGCTGAATTTGAGCCATGGGCCATAGTTTTCTGACTCTTGATTTAAAACTATAATGTTGAGATAATTCTCTGATTTCCTTTCTTTTTTTTTTTTTTTTGTTTGGAATCAGGAATTTTATTTTTTTATTTTTATTTTTTTTTACAAATAGTTTATTGTCAAATTACTTTCTACATAACACTCAGTGCTCATCCCCAAAGTGCCCTCCTCCATGCCCATCCCCCCCCCCCCCCCTCCCCACCAGTCCTCAGTTTTTGTCAGCATTCAAGAGTCTCTCAGGGTTTGCCTCTCTCCCTTTCCCCCACCATTTCCGCCCTTCTTCTCCCCCTTGTTCCTCCGTCAAGTTCCTCCTAATCCTCCTATACGTGCAAACATATGGTATTTGTCCTTCTCTGCCTGACTTATTTCGCTCAGCATAACACCCTCAAGGTCCGTGGACCTGCACTGTTGGTGGGAATGTAAACTGGTACAGCCCCTCTGGAAAACAGTGTGGAGGTTCCTCAGGAAACTAACAATAGAACTCCCTTATGACCCAGCAATAGCACTGCTAGGAATTTACCCAAGGTATACAGAAATGCTGAGGCATAGGAGCACATGTACCCCAATGTTCTGATTTCCTTTCAAAATCAGTACCCTTCAGCCATTGAATGGAGAGACCAGGGTTTTTCCAGGTGAATTTAAAGGGATGAGAAAGAAGGTGGGACTGTTAAAGAGTAACACTATAAAGCTTTGTAAACCACTGCTGTTGCTTTGTACGAAATTATTCTCTCAGTGTATTAAATTGAACATACCTACCCAAGTAGCCACTGACATCAATCCCTTACGAAAGCCATGAGTGCAAACACAAATGCACATGCAGATACAGAAAGACTTGTACAACACCAGATTCATGTTCTCAAACACATCTGGGTGCACATGCACAGAATAAGTCTCAGGAGTTTATCTGATTTGATTCCCACATTGGGTATTTCATCCGACTCTTGAAAATCACAGCTATGCTTAGAAAGTCCTCAGGTACCCAAACTTTTTATGGGATCCTCTTTGTCACCTACCTCTTGCTACAAAAAATCCAAATGATGACACTAGTAGTAGCACTGTTCTATATAAACAGGTAAAAATTCCTTTCCATTTCTACCCTGTTTCTCTCTCTCTTTCTCCCTCCCTCCCCCTGTCCATCCCTCCCTTCTCCCTCTCTCCCTGTCTCCCTCACTCCCTGTCTCTTCCTCTCTCGCCTGCAGGCTGTCTTGAGTTATGGACAAGAAGCTGCAGCTTTTCCACCTTACCCTCTGTACACAGGGCTGAGGTTCTGGCATGGAGAACCTTACTTCTGTGGGCTCAGCACTGTAGAGGAAATTGATTTTCGGGCTCCGGCACAAGGTTTTCTACTTGTGTGGGCTGTCTACACTGTGTCCCTCTTCAGGGGGAAGGACGGGGGCAAGCTTCAGAGTCCAAGATGTTTACTCAGTATCCAAATGCATTTCACAGTTTACTTAGAGCGAGAAGCATGAGTAGCCTTGAGAGCCTGCCTGGTTTCTCTTCTGGGTTTTGCTCATGAGGAGGAAGTACAGTGGACAAGGTTAAGTGGTCTTGATTCCAGAATTCATTTAAGGATCTCCATCCATTTCCATACTAGAAATGCAGAATTTGAAACTCTGCAAGGATGTGGTTGGGCATGGTGATGTCTCTGAAGTATGGAGTGCCCTGGGATTGATTGAGGGTGGGCTGGGGTGGGGTAGAGATATAGTAGTTTCCTAGCAGAACTCTCCCTGTCCATCTGTTGAGTGGGAGAGTAGGAAGAGCTGTCCTGACCCAGGTGGACACATCAGCAGTCACATGTGATTCCCAGGTGACTCTTGGGGATGCTGACAGGGGAAGGGCATGAACCAGCAA